TATCCTGCTGCGTACTACAATCATCTATTCAAGAAAAGTGGTCATTGCAAATCTCATGCCCTGAAAATGGGACTGACTGCTCTGCACCTGTGAGCTAAGCCTCGCTGCATGTCGCGCAGGTAACTTTGTTGTGTCATCGCCACCAGCGTCTTCACTCATACCAAACAACCGCGCTCTGAGGTCATTGCCACGAGTTGTTTCTCCTTTAAGCTCAAGCTGGTGTTTTGAGAACAATTTCGATGTTTACATTCTCCATGATGGCGAGTTCCCTACAAGGTGAAGGCTTCTGTTATTCATGGCAGTGGAAGTCATTATTCTGGGTTGGACACCTGTCGATTGCATTAACATATGGTAGGAGGCTTGGCAGTGGCGGTGTTGCCGGAGAAAGACAAGTCACGCGTCTCTGTCAGTGCTGCCAGGCTGGCGCGCTCAAAAGTCTACTTTAAACATTCTCATTTTCATTGAGCGACGGGCACGCAGCACTCAGCATCTGTGAGGGTACGTACGTGACCTGAGCACAGGCAGTGAAGAGTGAGGTAAGCAAGCGCCGCAGCCACTGCCCTGCTGTAAGCTCCCCGTCCGGTGCACCTAGGCGCCCACCAATTCCAGCCCCAGGACAAGGCCTGTTCTCATTTTGTGTCTCGCATCTCCGATTCTCGCACCCACACCTTGCGACGCACGAAATGATGCCCATGATCTCTTTGAGCTTGTAGCCTGCGAGATCTCCCACAAGTCTTTTGACTGCTGTATCCATTCTCTAATACGAAGGAACATGGCCTCAGCTCAATGCCTGAACAAGTCAAATTTTGACTACTGCTTTGAAGGGAACTGAGCAGCGTCTTACGCATGCACGTTTGGATTGGAATGATGAATGTGGTCTTGGTGGTCTTGGAAATTGGTGCTTGAAGATTTCGGATGGGTGGAAGTGATCGATGAAGATATTGCAATTGATTAGATCATGATTTAGGTCCCTAACCACGCGAGAGAGAGACGAGCAAGACGCACGTTCGGGCCTTGCAAAACACAGCTGCGATAAAAGACAAGCGGAGCTCAAAGGATCGAAAGACGCGCATGCAGACGCTCCCGTGGTTGCACGTTGTGTGCGGCTTGTTTGCTTTGCCCGCCTTATTCAATTACAATGGTGGCGACCACCTTGCTCTGAGTGAATGCCGGTGGTTCGGAGGGTAGAGAGGTGTGGGAGGTCATTTCAAGGTTAAGGTGGCTGAAGCTAGCTGAGCCAGATTCAAGGTTGTGGCCCACTCACTCAGTACCTTGAGTCGAATCAAAGGTGGGCAGTGACATAGTGAATTTGGGTGCTTGAGATGCTGAGTCATGGGCTACCCGAGCTCGGGCAGCCAACCCGTCGATTTTATGCACATTTCGGAGTATATCGACCAAAGTGATATATATCTATTGGATAAGTATATAATAATGTTGCAGCATTCTAACATGATTATGCACTTAGACCCAGCACTTAAGTGTCCGTGCGTCGGATCCCACTACTCATACTGCAATTACTGTAATGCACTAAACGCAATGACAACCAGCCGTTGACGCTTGAGAAGCTGCGGCGACGCACACTTTACTTGGATGATCGAAAGACACCACGACTCTTTCAACAACTTCAACTTCAGACTTGATCTATTTGCACACAGATGCTATCAATCAGCCCTGTGTTACAGGCTGTGTTGTAGCGCCAGACTCGGCAGTTCTGCCCCCAGCATTCTGGGATTGGTCTTGGGAAAGCTCAAATTGGATGCGAAAGCATCGCAGCATCCGTGAAATCGGTCTGGGATGATGGTCTGGTGATTGGCTCACTACAGCCGTTGGGGACTACGTGGAGCTGACGAGCTGATTGCGATGTCGGGCAATGAATGTACGAAAACACCAAGCAACAGAGTCATGGTCTCGAGAATGGGTCAAAACAGCGTCGTCTTGCGAAATGCTATTTGTCCTACGGACTCGTTCAAGATACAGTCTCACGATGTTAGCATCGCTAAATTGCCGCTGAGAGCTACAAATCTTGCTGTTTGCTTCTTCAGACAACACGGTACACCAGAACAGATGTATCGGACCCAAATGCGTGTTTCAAAGTCCCCAGTGTGTGACAATTCTCGTTTCCCGACTCCTGCAACTGCAACAATCATAGCACTGGTCCTAGAGAAAAGTGAGATGAGGGCAGTGTCTCTCTGACACAGCGTCAATCACTGGCAGAGAGACCGCCTCCCTGTTCCTCCTCAAGTGCCATGAGCAGCTGCCGGGACGAGTTGACTATCATGATGAGGGCAATCTCGACATTGCTGGCGGTCTTTGGTGATACCGACATGATCTCGTCGGTCTCGAGTGAGAGAATATCGCTGCATAGGGTGGCAATCATGGTGGTGGTGTCCGGCGGGCTGTGAGAGCTAGAGGCGGGGCCGGAGTCGCTGGCGTAAGGCTGGCTGGAAGATTCAGATAGACAAGCCTGGGTCTTGGCGCTGCAGTCCATCTTGGCTGTCTTGGATGGCCGGGGATTGTGGTTGGTATCATTGGGCGAACGAGTCCTTCTTCGGCAGGATATTGATAACTGGGAAAAGGTGTCTGTGTATCCTGCGATGACATTAGCCACGGTGATCCTAGAGGCTACTGGCTGTAGGATCAGAGCAGAGAGCGGGTGAGAATGCAAAGGCAGTGAACGCGTCATGTGGGCAAGAGGGGAAAAAGAGATACCTACCGTTTCGACCAGTCATAATGCCTGGACTCCTGCGAAGTGCAGTGCTGGTTACGCTGCTTGCGATCGGTGCCGGTTGGGTGATGCTGGGCAAAGACGCGAAAGATTTGAGCCCGCTGCTTTTCTCGTTCGTGTAGCGGCGGGTAGGCAACGTAAGAGAAAGGGGAGAGGATGGTACTGAATGGCGAGTCTGTGCGATAAGGTGTGCTTTTCAAGCAATTGAGAGGTTCCTGGCAGAATGTCTCGTGCTATTGAACGAACGAAGTCTTTCAAGTACCTCAGGGCATGGACGAGTTGCAATCTGTCCTAGGTTACCTACGTGAAGAGCAAGGGAAAGATGGAGAAGGAGAACTGCTCAGAGGAAAAGCAATTCTCGGTCGTTCCACCTCATTGCAGAAGATGGAGTAGGCGTATTTGGTTCCGCAACCACTTGGAAGTACCTTACGGAAGGAAACCAAATCGGAAAGGAGCAACGGCAGGGACTTTTCTGAACAAGAATGATGTCCGGAGAGAAGAAGGAAGCACCTTACCATGTTGGAGGTAGGAGCTAGGACGCAAAAGGTGACGGCATGAAAAGCGCAGGAAAGAACGAGAGGTGGGGAAAGTACCTTACATCGGGTACGAGTGATAATGACAGAGAAGTGAATTTAGGTGAGGCGAGGAAGGAGATAGCCGCGTGCCCACTTTACCTTGGATTATCTAGGTAGCTTATCTTTCTGGATGATGGAAGATGACGTTTTCCGGGAAACTACTGTAAGGTACCGTGTGCCGTGCATGTGACCGCCTCAAGTGATCCTGTTACATCGTCTTCGATCAAGTACGTAGATACCTAAGGTACTTGTTGAGGTAAGTAGGTGAAGGCAGGTAGCTATCAATGAAGGAAAGCCCCCTGGTCCTACGGAGGAAAGAAGCTGTGAGTCCTACGTCCATGCTCCCGGTACAATCTGCCCTCGATTCATGTGTGGAAAGCTCCACGTATTCAACCTTCCATGAATCGAGGGAAAGCCAGTACTCGGAACTACGTATTCCAGAAACACATGGAAGATCTTGCATCCTGGCAATGGACTTGCCTCGAATTCCAAACCTGTCATGCCATCCCGGGGTCTGCCAAGAATCTGCTCAGCCGCAATTTCATCCCCTTCCCATGTTATCAGTCCCTTCCCAAGTCCAGATTCTGGCTGCCATTCTCCCCCGTTGTAACAAACTCATAGGGGCTGGTACGTTCTCGGGATCCTTCTGTCTTACAACATCATGATCTTTCCAGTTCAGTACAACTTGCCAGAATGAGTGAATGCCGGGTAGTTTCCACGACTTGCTCCGAGGTGGACCGGGACATAGCTGCCTCGCCTTATCTTCCTGCCCGAGATGCTTCCTCTTGTCATGTCTGGCAGTCTTGAGACGCCTGCCCAAAAGTCCAGCACCGGAGGCCACGAACTCGTATCATTAATTGAGCACTTTTCCAGCTTGTTCCTACCTCAGTACCTGTCTTACCAATAAGGAGAATCCATATGCCAGAGAGTACATCTGCAAGTTACAAGGACCTTCGTTCTGCCTCAAGACATACTCATCATTCCCTGAGATGCCATGTCTGATACGTGTCTTCCTGTACGCCTGGTTGAACCTCCCGTCTCGATGTGCATCTGGACTGTCTAAAGACAAGACGTCTTTCCAAATTGCATCTTTCCGAAGACAGAAAGTTCTTCCCACCTTCATCTGTGCGAATACAAGATGTCCTTCCCATCTAGATATGCCTGAAGACAAAATGGTCTTGCCATCGGCATCTATCTACCTAGAGATAAGACGTCCTTGCCATCTACATCTGTCTGGAGACAGAACGTTCTTCCCACCCGCGTCCATGTGTCTTTCTCTCTGTCTGATAAGCTCCTGCCCGTCTGTCTCGAGACATACCTGTCTGACGTATGACTGCATCCCGTTGTGTCTTAGTCCAGACGTCTTCCCCTTCTTGGTCCGAAATCTACTTCCAGATTTGATGTAAGTGACTGATCGTGAAGTAACTCTTGTAAAATCTGGCAAGTCCTCGCGTCTCTTCCTCCCATCCGAGTTGAGCATTGTAGACGCCACGTAGATCTGTATAAGAAGTCTGCCTTTCTCTCATGCCCCAGAAAACTTCTCTTCTTTTCTTCTCTCGGCCGCCAGAGACACAAGCACACGCACACGCACCATTTGCCTCTCTGCGTCCCTCTCCATCTCTCTCTCTTAGTTCTGCGTTGCTGTGTCTGGAGTTACCTTTTTTTCTTCTACTTCTCTCACTGTCACTCTCACTGAGACGATGTCTGCCGCCACTCTTCTCGCCGAGTTTCGTCGTCTTTGCGTTCTTCATCAAGCCGCCCCAGGACGCGCCAAGATCCCCGAGAAGTGGGATGCCTTGTGCCGACAGTGGTGGTCCGAGACTCGCGATGCAGATGAGGCCGAGAACGAGGAGGCCGACTGGTCTCGCTTGATTCAGGAAGCCATCCCCCCCGAGCAGCTGGACCAGGCCCTGGCCCTCATATATGAACCGGACATTGACGAAGTGACTGGCGATGCCTTGATCCGTCTCAACCGGGCGTGTTTGTCTCTGGGGCTCACCAAGCCGACTTTCTTTCTTGTTTTCGGGGCCAACATTGCCAAGTCGACGCAAAGTCTGAAGTACCTTTCCGGGTTATGCAATCCGAGATCTGCCCCGGGCTCCGGCCACTCCCCTCACGCCGTCATCGCCGCCGTGCGCCTGGCCATGACGCTCCGTCACAAGTCTGCCCGCGCGTTCCCCGTCCCAGTCGTAAGGGACGTCACCACCGCCCGCAAGAGTAAGTTGACTTCTTTCACAAAGCTTCTTCAGTCGCAATCCCCTCTTACTTTGATTCTGACATGAGATGTACTACAGGCCTCCAAGCTGCTGCAGCAGCAGTTCCCGCCGCCGCTCTCGCAGAGGAGAATGTGGAGGAGCCACGCGCTGTCTTCTCTGAGGAAGCCCGCGACAACATCAGTGCCGAGGCCCTGCAGCCCTTCCCCTTCCCCAACCCCTTTGACGCCTCCCCCATCCGCTCCCCCCGCATCCGCTCCCCGCTCATCCTCCCCATCCGCTCCCCCCGCATCCGCTCCCCGCTCATCCACTCCCCCCAATTTAACTGGCCGGAGAATGACCTATTGTCCGAGCTCGCGGAGGACACCGCCGCTCTGAATCTCGGCGCGCCAGAGAACGAGGATGAGGAGATGGAGGACGCCGCGACGGGGCTTCCCGAGACTGAAGAGGAGGAAGAGGAAGAAGACCTGACCGATCATTGGGTTAGACTCTGTCGGGAGCTGTCCGACCTCCCAATCCCCAATTGGGCGAAGGGTAGCACGAACATGACGTTTCAGGGCTGTCGTGTTTTAGCAACTGCGGTTGTCACCCGTGTTCTCGAGATCGAGGCCGCTGAAAAGGACATGGCGCGTGAGGAGAGGGCTGCTCCCCAGCAGCAGCAGCATCAGCATCAGAACCACCGCCGGTAACATCATCATCGCCACCATCTTCACCAAAAACTTTCTTGGGCCGCAGGGGCGGCATTAATTCAAAAGATTCTGTTTCCCGCTCTGCATTCGTGTCTGCTTTCCATGGTGAATATTGTATGATCGTGCTGATTACTGCTTGTTCTGATCCTTTGTTCTTGACATGTTTCACTTGCCTCATGATGTATATCTCTGAAGAGAGAATGAAGAAGATGCGTGATCTTCATGAAAGAAATCATTTTCTCTCCATGATTGAGAGGGATTACATACAATGTTCGTCTGCAAATCAAACGCGTAACATGATCAAATGACTCCTCTGGACGAAGCAGCTGACAACGCAAGGCTTTCTTCATGCAACTCTTCCCTTCAAATAATGGCTATCATACGATCACATCGTAAAAGTAAGTAGATGAGCAGTTAGACTCAGCAAGACTTGTAGGCTTTGGGGTTCAAAAAACAACTTTTCATCAAAACATAAGGTAAATCTCAAGGTTTTCTTTCATTTCTCTCCTTTCCTTGAAATTTTGATACTTGTTGGGTGATACTTCACGGCGAGGCTCCGGGAAAGACATGGATGAAAGGCCTCCTCTTGATTCCGAGTAGCAAATCCATCAGTATCAAACCTAATCTATTGATATATTCCCCTTGATCTACTCTCTCTGAAACTCATGTACCTGCAAACGCATTCCAAAAACCAAGTCTGCACTTACATCTTCAGGTTCAGGATCCCATGTTCTCCGTAATTACGCCCCTGGAAACGGTGAAAGGTGTCTTTGAACGGAACCCAGCTCCTAATATTCTCGGCGCCCAAAGAGACCACCTTCAGCGGCTGAGGTTTTGATGTGACATCAAGAGGGGCGACCAAGACGATTCTCACAGAGCTAGGAAAGAAGTGCATCTGACGAACGTATGTCAAACGTAAGTGAACAATAATTTCCCCCACCGGGCAGGTAAATCAACCATTATCGAGACATTTCTGCTATTTTATAAGTGATATGCTGAGAGGGATTCCAAAAACCCAGAATTTCTCACTGCCGACGAGTCTGTAGACATCATCCGCGTCCCACATGTACAAGAATGGTAGCTGAGACACATACGAAACATGGCCAACTACCAAACTATTGCCCCTTTTCACCTGGGCAGCATACAAGGCCTTCCTGAGCGAGGCCAATTTGCACAAGGCTTCTATTCATGCAGCTGTGGTCTCGCTATATGCGAAGAAGAGGTAAGCCCTTGTTGACCGCTCCTTGCTGTGCCTAAAGCGCATTCGGCAATCGAGGCGCTCACGTCATGTAGGTAGTGACCACAAGGCGGGAAACGGAGCAACACGCCGATCACCGCCGGGGTCATTCATTTTCATCGTAGAGCGCTCGAGGGCCTGATCTGGCTTCCAATGGCCATAGTGGGTAAAGTGAATCTTCACAGCTACGTTATCAAAGGATCTTGGATTGCCTTCACGATGAGATACCATTAGAGGAAGAGTTGGATGTACGATTGGTGGCGAGACGTCCAAGATACTGACTGAATGAGAACTCATAAACAGGTAAAATGGAGTGCAAGTTTCTCCAGCCTAATGATAGTCATGATTGAAAGTATAAAATAGTTCCCGCAGTCACAGACAAACGTGGTCCCATCTGGTGCAAGGAATGAACTCGAGGGCTGCACCAGTTCCCCTGATCGACGTAAGAACGGTATATAAAGAAGGTCTTTTATCCGATGTAGATGATGTGATAGAATCTTCATTCCTCTAGGTCCTCATTGAAATCAAGAGTATGTTTGCATACTCCTTATCATGGTACCGCGCTCCTATTTGATATAGTCAAGGTGGGCTGGAGGACAGAAAGATTTCGAGCTACCATTTCTCAGATCCTAAACTGTTGTGAGAAGAGTTTACTGATGCGAAATGAGATTTAGAGTCCCGACCCGTCTCAGATTGAGCAGGACTAGCCGAAGGCGGTGGGCTGGTGATTCAAGGCTTGGGTTTTGGCACTCATATCCATCTGAACTATCATGAGATTTAGACACAATTTTCCCCAACAGTACGGCGATGTCAGAGTCTGACATAGGTACTCTAAAGTCATTTCTTTGCAGTGTTTCCCTCGCTAAGTGAAATTTTCGGTTCGTTTGAGGTCGGCGTTGAATGCGTCTAGGCTAGAAAAGTAAGTTTCTCATTTCAGAGTCCACTTTCAACTAATTTGATGCTGGATCAAGATTCTCTCTCGTATAATTTTGAACGGTATGACATTCAAGTCAAGGAACTTTGAGTCCTTTCATCGCGGCCTGGTAAATCTTGCATATCCTCTGCTGCCCTGTTGGTCAAGAAAGCCCGGCGGGCTTGGATCTCGTGGGACACTGAAACGATGGAATATTCCCACTAAAGACATGGCATGATCTCATCATCACTATTATCAACCCTCCCGTCATGACTGCTATTGTGTTTTCCAGGACACCAATGATAGCTGTCCATCTGTCACCTAAATGACGTCAGGAAGTGACAGCACCGATACGATGAATGAGCTCTTAGCGATATTCAACTACATGGGATGGCCATGGTCAAGCTTTCCAAAGTGAAGTGAGAAAGCGGTCAAGATCTCACATATCCAACGCCAGATAGGCAGAGGCAAACGGCATCGTTTCTGATGCGCTATATCTGTAGGGATATCTTTCCCAACCAGATACTACGTGTTCTGTTTTTACTGTTTTATCAACTTATCAAAGTCATTTATATAAACCGATGGCATTTATCCATTATCAATAATAGTATTATATAACTGAGTATCGTCCCCCTAACGGAGTAATCCGCTAGGGCCGTACTATATATTACGTATTAAAGAAAACTAAGTATATTATGCTCCGTACCTAATTACTAACTAAAACTCCTAACCTTTTACTACTTCTAGTTATTTATAAAATAAGCTTTACTTACTTTAATATATATAAAACCTCTTAATATTAACCTATATAAATAATTAAATTCAATACGATTTCTTTTTATATAAGTATTATTATTACTTAAAAGGCTTATAAAAACTATTTAAAACGCTAGTTTATTATTTTAATTTTATACTTTTCTAACTTACTTATTATAATTATTATTATTAAATTAAATTAATATATTAAATTTTAATATTTATACTAATTTAATTATTTATAATATTTATAATATTACTTAGCTAAATTTTATATTATTAAAAATACTTTATTACTTTTTAAATATATTTATATTAGTTATAATAATTATAATATTGAGCTAGCTAAAGTAAGTACTTAGCCTGAGAGGAGTAAACTTATTAACAAGTATTTTTAAATTCTTATTAAAATAATAGTTTATATATTAATAAGTTTATTTAATAAGTTTATTTAGTAAATTTATTTAATTTAAATAGAGTTTTAAATAATATTAAAAATAATAAGGATAAAAGATTTTTATAAGCTCTAATATATAAATATTAGCTTTTTAGCCTTTTTTTAAAAACTTCTATATTATTATTAAAGTTTAGAACTTTTATAATTAAAAAGGTTATTTCTAACTTTTATAACTAATTATTATAACTAATTATTATAATTAATTTTTATTATTAACTTTTTAATTAATATTATTATATAATAAAAAAATAGCTTATTTATTTTAAATTAAATAATAGTTTTTATATTAAAATTATTATATTATATTAAGTATATATTTAAAGTATATTATATATATTATATAATTAAAAAGTATATTATATTATATAATTTTTTTTTAAAAATATAATCCTATTAAGGTCGATCTTTTATACTTATAAAGCTAGAAAAAAACCATTACATAACTGAGTATCGTGATCCCCGGGTATTGGCTTTTGCGTTCAATGTGTCTTGAGGCCACAACAGAACAAAGGTTCGGTTCAATCCTGCATTCATTCCGTGCTTGGAACTAAGATTTATAAAGTCCTAAGTGTTACCCAAGAACTTTTGTGAATTTCGCACGTTCGTCACGCTCTTCATACTCAGCTGAAAAAATGACTCTTTGCGGCCAAGGAGGCTTCGCAGCTTCAGTCAAGCACTCATCATTTGTTGATGTTTTGGAACCATTCAGACATCTTACGCTTAGAGATCTTTTAGTGCTTATCTCCCCGAATCAGAGGTCAGGGAAATGGCTCTCATCTTAGGGAGTTGGAGTCTGAACAAAGATGAGAAAATGTGGCGAGATCAGGAAGTCATGGGATTGACTGTGATGTTCAGCTCTCATCATCTCCAGACTTTGGTATCAGGGCTTGGGAGTGTAAGAACCAGGGCTTCGTTCGCTGAATTTCTCCTAATCGTGGAGCGCAAAAGCATTGGCGAATGTTCTCCTCAGGAGCGATGCTTGCCATCCCTGAGAAAGAAATATTTCAGGCACGCATTAGCGATAAGATCAACTTTAGAGCGGCCCTGAGAGATTTCGCAACTAATATTAGGATTCCTGGTCTGTTCTGTTCTCGGCTCGCGGAGAAAGTGAGACGCACAACCGGAGACAATTAAAGATATCTGATTTGTGTATCCGCGAAATGGGAAACCAAGTGTATGAGCAGGGCACAGCGATGCATGATGCCTTGAGGGCGATCAACTGCCTGTTGTCAAGCCTCTTCGATTGCTGTTGGAAACGGCCTGTTAAAAATAGGTAGAGCATCCCGATGCTCTTTCAATTTGCAATGGGCGTCTGTTGAAAGCCCAGGTAGAGAGAAACTTTACACTCAATTCCTGTTCTCACACATTTAGCGATACGACAATGAGATAGTCATATCTCCTACATTGACCGAGGTGGGAATCCCTTCCAGCTTCCTCGTTGAGCACCGCTATTAGGTTTAGATGAGATCAATAGCTCTGGCGTAAGTTCTTGGACAGATCAGCTTTTGCTATGTTGATACTGTCACCAGACCTTTTGCAGTTATCAAGCTCTCCTGCATTAGATATGCCCACTTGAACTGCCCCGCGGTCTTGATGCTAAGCCCGATTTCAATCGTTGTCCAATTCATAGGATCGGT